ATTCTTGATGTCTGGCATGCGCGGCACACAACTTCCATTGCATAAGTGCCTTGAGCTTGCGTGCCTTGTTGCACTTTCGTTATCATCACCATTACCAACACCACCGTATTTCATCTTGTGTAACCCTCTCTCGAGAGAATCCATCCAGGAGTGCATCAGTGTGTGTGTGTGTGTGCGTGCTTGTGCATACATAGAAATAGACAAGGAGACAGACAGAGCGAAGCTGAACACTTTTGGCGGTAGATTTCCTTCAGCCGTGCTACATTTCGACTGCAGGTTGCGCTTTGGGAAGGTGGTTGCGGAGTCTGGTGCTGTTGGTTAACATCCAGCAAGCACGAGATACAGCCAATCCTGGAAGGCGACTCCAAGGGTCAATGTGGGATACCCTTTGAAGTCCCTTTTCCTCACCTGGGCTTGGGCACTTTGAGGGCTTGACTGCTTCGCAGCGTAGGATGCAGCTGGGATGAATGGGAGCCCTCTTTGTTTGTGCTGCGGAATATTGATGCCATTTCAACTTCAGCTTCCTCCCATCGCCGGCAGGACATCGAATCGTTGCGACCTACAAGGTTCTGGCTGAGCCGGGCTCAACGATTTCCGTGGACCCGAACGCCGTTGCCCTGGCCGAGCGCCTGAATGAATGCATTCCTGAGTTGCTTCGCTTGCATGACTTTTCGGTATGTCAACTCCTGTCCGCATCTCTGTAATCCGTAAAAAACTGAGGCTGAAGACGTTGCTACAGGAAAAGCGTTTGCGTGATGCAGGGTTCCTGCTCCATCACGACTACAGCTTCGATGGGAGGCCACACATGGACTTTCGGAGACTTGTCGGCCGCGACCGGACATTGTGGTTGGCCTTGGAATTGCTTGGCTTGGAGCTCCAGGTTCGCGAGGTGAAGTTGGTGCACGAAGTTCTTGCCGCTAGGCCCTAGCACGCCGGTTGGCACCTGTCTTCTCAGAGAGTTGCCACCTTTCATTGGTTCCCTAAGCGCCTCTTTGCCCATCCTTGCACAGCTTAGGACAATGATGATGGTGAGCTGACGCATAGAAAATGTCGCGTGGCGGAGGAGGTGCAGCACGTCGATCCTTGGGATTGGCTCTTGTTGGATGCTGAGCAGGACTCCAATTTGGAGCTCATTCTAGGCAGGCTGATTCTCGAAAGGCTCGGAAACATCCTTTGAAAATCCCAGACATGTCGGTAGCTTTGCCTGTTCTTCTGTCTTGGGCTTCTTATCTACCCACACAGCAGCTGTTTAGCAGAAGGGTCAGAGAGAAGTATGGCGGAGGATTTGTGGAGCGATGACGAGCTGAGAGTCGAACTCACCAGAGAGGCAGCTGATTTCTTTGGCGTCAAAGAGCTGCGAGCTGCTGACGTGGACAAAGTCCTGTTCTTTGCAAGAACTGACTGGGACGATGCACACGTTGGATTCTGGCCCGTGATGGGGTGCCTCTGGTGCATCTCGCGCGACAAGTTGCTACACAAGTTCAGAAGCAGCAGTTTCGAGGGCGTCGAAGATGAGCTTTGGGGCAACGAAGGCACCTTCAGCATCTACTGGTACAAGGCAGCCGCACTGATGGCTCGAATTCGTGCCGACGACTCTGTGTGTTGCGATGACGACATCGATTTGGAAGATTAGGACACATGAGCAGGAAGCCCACGGTGATTGCAGTGGCGGGCGGCAGTTGCTTCTCGCTGCGCTGAAACCCCGCACAGTTCGGAATTCTTGTTGGTGCAGATAGACTTACCTGCTGTTGTGCCTGCCTGGTCTACAGGTGTGCTTTCCAATTTTGAAGATAGTTGCATCTGAACCCGAACGCAACAAAAAGCAAGCACAACAGAGAGCCCAGAGTCATGCCGCAGGGGCACCGAAAACATGCAGCATAAGACTGCGCCACTTGTGGCCAGATAGACTGCCAAGCACCGCTCATGCACCAGACGTGGAAGCAGATGTTGGAAGTTTGAACTTAGGAGGTCTCGTCTCCAGGCTTCCGGCCGGTTTCAGCCTTTACGGTCAGAGTGGTAGCTTTGTAGTAGCCTCAGCTTTGCTGCCCTTTGGCACTCCAAAAACGAGGTCTTCCTTTTCGGCGAAAGCGCTTGGGCAATATACGGCTTTAGCTCTTCAGAATGGTAGCCACTTGACATATACATTTGAGCATTTATCCGTTATACTTATTTTTTTCATTATAAGTTGATCGGAATAGTCTTAATTTTGATTTCAATATAAAAATCATTGAATTGGTATATGAAATTTAAGATATTTCTGTATTATTCATTTGATTCCTGAGTGCGCAGCAGAAAGGTTCTTATTTAGAGGTTGTGGACTTGGGAGTCAGCGTATAAGGGAGCCGCAATCGTAATTGGTGGGGGATTAACTATGAAAATGCCTCGTTCCGGGGCGTTGTATATTATATTTATATTGATAAAATTTTATTGGCTACCTTAATATTTGTCGTCATGGAGCCGATTCTAGACACAAATCATATTTTTCTATGAATTATAATATTAGGATTACGAATACGTTCTGGTTTTTTGAATTTTGGTAATTCGTTTCTAGAATCTTTGGAAGTCTTGTCTGGCTGTCATATAATTCTTTTAATCTTTATTTAGTGATGTTTATTTTTTTTGCATAGATGTTAGAAATTCGTTGTTTGTATTATTTGAATCTGGAAGTGTCGAGATTTGTCGTTGATGTATTGTTCTGGGGGAGTTTGAGTTTTCTTATGAATTTCATAGATTGGAGGAATTTATATTTGAGATGACGGTGATATAATGATTTTGTTATTAATTTTTCTT